GAGACATACTCACCATCTAATTTGCAGCATACTTGTAACTTCCGCTTTTGTGACTGACAGAAAGGACAAAACCAAATTATCCCAATACACAAAATGATTAGCAGTATCAGTGAAAGGACCACAACTAGGATAATGATGCCAACACTCACCTGGCCTGTAAAATAACATGATTTGTAAAAAAAAATATTGGCGTTCAAATGATAATATAATGATAACTTTTGATGACTCAATGTCGGCGCTGAATATGAATAATTCGTAATTAACAGAGGGAAAATCAGTACAATTGCACTGCATTATATCTATAAAATAAACGAAGATATTTGCATTGACAAACATAGCTAGAAACAGCAATATATTACTTTGATTGATTTTGTATATTTTTGAATTATTGCTAGACAGACACTAGAGCAAACGCGTGCTCAACACAATGATTGAATCTATTTTATAATTAATTATGAAAAGTATTCAAATCTAATACTGGATTAGGGCTTTAAAATGATTCTTTTGACTTTGCATGAAAAATTTGTCATAGTTTCAAGTATGACGTTTCCAAAGACTGCTGACTGATATGACCGTATGGTTATTACTTACAATTGTTAATAATACTAATAAATTACTTGCACAGTTGCAAGGATGATATGAAATAATCATTCTACATTTCACTTAATTAATACTTCTAAAATTATACCAGCATTTCAAATGCCAGAATATGTCGTTCTAAGTTGTCGAGATCGAGTTTTCATAATATATTTAGTAAGGGTGTCATCATCCAGTATTTTGCTGCCATTGGAAAAGTCTGCTTCCTTTTTGTTATTACCTGTCATAATAAAATGTGCATGCATATACTTAACAATTCAAAGTACTTTGTCACATTTTCTTATTGACAAACTATTCTTAGGATTTGTCATACGCTTATGATGTTATAAACGGTAGGTTTACTATAATACTTACTATCTATGTCAACTTCGAACCATAGAGAACACTCATCAAAACCAGCTGTGTTTTCGGCCTTACATGTGTACATGCCGTTGTCGAGCTCACTTACTTCATACACTACTAATGTATTGTTGTGCACACTGTATTTACTGCTCTCAATTATGCGATGTCCATCTAGATACCATGAAATGAATGAAATCTGGCATCCGCTCCTAATGCAGCTAAACGTCACGTTCTCGTTTTCGTTCGCTGGGTTACTTGAAACCAGAATATCATCAATGACTGGTTTTAAATCTGAAAGTGTTAAAATAGCAAAGAAGAGTTCAACAAGATCATTGAATTATAGATTTATAATGTTACCATTCCACTGCTATAGTATTGATAGTATTAAATTAGTTCAAAGTAATAATTTTGTGAACCGTATTTTATACACGAGTGTACATGTAGCCTGGCAAAAGAAGTTAACACTTACATCCATGCCAATGTGGCTGCAACATGTATGTTCCATATTGTAGTCTGACTTCAGCTTGTGTTATTTGATTTGATTATGTAGTAAAACAGCACATCATCCCTACATCATTTACCTGATATCCACAATTCAACTGATTGTGAGCTACCATCCAATCCAGCTTGAACTTCAACAGTGTATAAGGAAGTATCGTTGAATTGTGTGTCATTGATCCGTAGAGAGGCCTGACCTTCGATGTCAAATCTGTCTTCAAATTGTTCATCAACAGACAAAACACCATTATACAATTGAAGTATCTGAACATCTGTCACTCCTCCTTGATACCATCTTAAAACCGGGGTTGGATAATCTGTTATGTATGAACAATTAAGTACAACTTGACAGCCCCTTGAGCAATTGTACTCATCCCGTGACACAGAAAGCAAAAGTAATGCGTCTGTTTGGGGGGGAAACAAATATTCAACGTCAATATACATTTCTAGAAAGTGAAGGCAATGACATCATTTATACACCACTATGTTTGAACATATCTAGA